TCACTATAAGAAAGATAGCCTCTTTCATAAATGATGTTGGAAAAACAGGCCTTCCACATGCCAAAGACTAAATCTAGACGCATGTCTCTCACCATGCAGTGAACTAAAATTAAATGAGTCAAAGATCTAAATATTAAAACAGAAACACTAAATCTACTGGAAGAGAGAGTAGGTGGAACTCTTGAAGATATTGATGTAGGCAAAAATTTCATGAACAAAAACCCAATCACAGAGGAAATAACACAGAGTCAACAACTGGAATCTCATCCTACTAAAAACATTTCACACAACAAAAGAAATTAGCAATAGAATGAAAAGACAACACACAGAGGGAAAAATTTTTAGCCTATTGTCCTTCATACAGATGACTAATATGTTGAACATATAAAAAATTGAAAAAGATCAGATCCCATCCCAAATTTAACGATCTAATCCAAAAATGGGCATCTGAAATAAATATATGCTTTTCAGAGGAAGAAATACAATTGGCAAATAAATATATGAAAAAATGTCCAACATCACTGGTCATTTGAGAGATGCAAATCAGAACAATGCTGACTTTCCATCTCATCCAAGAAAGAAAGACTGTTATAAAAAAAACTCAACCAATAAGAAATGCTAGTGAGGCTGTAGGGGAAAAGGAGCCTTTCCCCACTGTTGGTGGGAGTGTAGATTGGTGCAATGAATATCAAAATCAGCGTGGAGATTCCTTAAAAAATAAAACTAGAGATCTCTTTGGTCCAGTTATTCTCCTTCTTGGTATCTTCCCAAAATAGTTCAAAGTATCATACCACAGTGATATATGCATACCCATGTTCTATAGCAGCACAATTTCTAATAACTAAACCTTGGAAACAGCCCAGATGCCCATCATTGGATGAACTGATAAAGAAAATGTGGTTTTTACATAGAGTGAAGTACTATTCTGTTGTAAAGAAGATAAACCTGAGACATATTTAAGTAACTGGATGTACCATGAGACCATGCTTGTAAGTGGAACAATTTAGACATGTGTTTAAATATAATATTCTATCTCTGGTGTGAGAAACTGTAAGTGTAAGTAAAGACCAAAATGGATGGTAGATATTCTTAAATAGGAAGAAACTGGGAAGGGGAACAAGAGAGAGGGGGAAGGATAAGAAAGGAAGGGAAAAGGAAAAAAGAGAATGGACTGTCAGCCTTTTGTCAGTTATATGTGTTAAAACTACCTTTTTAGGGTCTTGGCCTTTTGTTTTCTTGACTTATTTTGATAAAAAGAAATTACTAATTTTACCAATCTTTTCCTTTTGAGTACTTTCTAAAAAATTTTTAATCTATAGTGGACTTCCTTTACTCACTTTAAAACTTTTGTTGTTTTTCATTGAAGTTTTAGACTACTTGTACTTCCTAAAGAATGAATAAAGATACATTTTTCTATAATATTTCTATGCATGTCTTGTTCTTAATTAAAATAGTTAATAAACCAAATTTCAAAACTTAAGGTGAAATGTATGTCTATGCTGCTCCTTGCTACCAAGAAGGAACAAAATAAAGAGTAGATAATTGCTAAGATGTGGAAGCACCCCAAATGTCCATCCACTGAGGATTGGAAAAGAAAATTGTGGTACTTTTATATAATGGAGTATTACTCAGCTGTAAAGAAAGATAAACTCAAGGTTTTTATAGGTAAATGGTCACAACTAGAG